AAACCGTAGCACCACGTTAAAGTCCCGTCACATTTGCAATGGAGACCAACTGCTACCATTGAATTGCGGCAAGCCATGTATACCTTTTGGTAATGTTGTCAGTTGGGGTCCAGGATAGTCTGTTGTTCAATGGGCACTATGTAATTCGACTCGAACGCTTGTTATGAGAAGCTTTCTCGGTTATGTGGAGGCCGCGTTCTGCGTTCACTGGTATGGAACGATGGCCAATCAGTGCTACAAGCACCGATCCTGAGCAGATTTTTATACTGTGTTCTAACCGATTTGAAACCGACTTGAGCCTTCATATCACCCTCTATGACCACAATATCCATGGTGTAGCGCATTCGGATAATGGAATGCAGTTGCTCATTGAATTGTTTGCCACCTTATAGATTTTGATTGGCACCTCACTTTCTATCGCTGCTTACTAACTCCCAAGTCTAGTTGTGCGCACTCGGCTGCCGACCAAGACCCATTCCTACTAAACGTTCTTCTCGTATCTTTACTGTGCCGTCTTTATGCATGGTCGGCAAAACCTTCGTCCGCTAGCCTCAGGTGCATTAGAACGCTGCTTTCGCGTAGACTTCTTCCAGAGACAGCATACGTCGATTGAAAGATTGTGAAATGCTAACGAGCGTTGCTTGTGGTGTGCGAATGTCGGAGACCCTAGTGGGGGGGGGTGATACTTTCGATATAAATGACGAAGTCGGCACTAACCTTCCGGTTAGCATGGGAAGGGGGTGATTGAAGTGGAATCAGTAGCAGAGAAAGCCTCACTGGCAACGAGGCATCGTAGGCAGATTGTGCCCTCTATTGGATTGGCAAACAGAGCGAATACGCACGGTGCTGCAACGTGGTGCGAAGAGGACAAAACGGATGGGACTGTGATGAGTCACGTCAGAAACTTCCGAAACCCGACGCTCATGAGCAAGTTTACGACACGACGCACAAGCAGTAGACTAAATATGGCACCTGGCAAGGACATGGGTGCCAGGCGAAATCCGGTGTATCTCGACAGTGCGGCCAGTCTGTGACTGGACGCGAGTGGATGACCAACTATGGCAGTATCCTTTCATAACTACTGAGGCCAAACCACGGCCGATTGAAGGACCGCGACACAAATATTGGAACGTGTGTTTTTCCTATAAGTATATTCGTCATTTAAAACAGAATACGAAGTGTCAGTCGTGTTGACTTTGATTTTCCCGTTGGAGTAGAGCGCCAGGCAGAAGAGACCGAGCAGAGAGGGTTCGCTCTGGTTACCAGCAACCATTTTTATTGTTGTTGCAATACGTCGATCGAGCGCAGCTTATTGCCCATACAATCTTGTTTCTTTTGACTGTTTTCACAGGAGGGCGTTATCGGCCTCTTCTCAATCTCCGATGACCTAGATGTCGAGACCATTTTTATCCGATGTATCCATATACATTAACTGCATCTGATGAATTTGACCCTCTGTCTTTGCAACCGTTCGTCGATGTTATCTCTTTAACTTCATCAACATTTTGTTAAGGTCTTCACCACAATGTGCACTTTTTGCTTCTAGCTTATGTCTGTTCCCTGATGTTTATAGCCCTCACCCCATCTTAAATATTTCAAAATTTTGCGCGATGGCTATTGAGACCAGCTACTTATCATGCAGGCTTTGTCAATTTCACAGACCAACGAGCTTGCTAAAGTCATATTCGTACAAATACCTACCAAAAATACGATGCAAATAGGATGTAGCGCCCACTGTACCACCCTTCGAATCTTCAAGCTGTAGCACAACTAGGTAAGCTGCTTAATTTGGTATCATCAAGCTGACTCAGGTAGTCGGGATGTAAGCCGCGGCATCGTTTGTCATATTTGCAATCTCCGAAATGTACTGATAATATCCACTGTAGCTTATTAAGTAGAGCACGAATATCCTGTGAGCACGGAAGGTCGTTGATGGCTCAAACAGCACTCAAGAGAACGGATTCCGGCGGCTACATAGCATGACGGTGGTCACAGCGTGTAATCGGCAAAAGTCAAACTTAGGTCGTTTTTAGATAAAACGGATCATCGCTACGTAAATGATATCGGGAATACAGGGAAAGCACTTATTGTTCTTTAAAGTCTTTCTGATGGGCAACCAACATTCCTGATTGATAGTCTAGCCGCCGACCTGACACGAAAAAGAGTTCGAAAAGCTTGGAGTCTCCACTACAATTGGCTCTGTTCATTTTACCGACGAACTAATCGTTTTTATGTGAAACATTTCCTTTTCTTGGACACTCCCCCGATACTGATTCTCGCGATTCTCGAACATACTTTCGGTTTTAGTTAAAGCGTTCTTGGTCTGCTTATATGTTGCCTTTGCTTAAATGGCTTCAGAACCATTATTTACTTTACCTATACAACTATTATTCAGTGAATTGAATGTGTTTACTTCCTCCCTGGGCACATTGAACGTGTCCAGAAGCAACTCAGGAGGTTACTCGGTGCGCTGACGGTTCACTCAACATTGATTACAGTTGGTCTACATAGTGCACTCAGATCCGAGCTCATTTAGGCGGCCCGTTACTGACATTGTTTCGCTTGCGTATACTTTTACCTGGTATCTCCGTGTGACATGCCCCTCCTGCTAGTCACATGTAAGTGCCGATTTCACTCCTTGCCGCCGGTTAAATTTCTGTTCCATGTTGACATTCGTTTCCCCTCATAATGCGCCGGTCGAACGCATCAAACTACGGATGAGCTCTCATCATTATCATCATCGCTTTTATTGAAGGAACTCCTTTTCATCCCACCTATTTGGTCTTGAATCGCAGTCTCTTCTGAGAAGAGGTCGCTCAAATGCATCCAAAGACCTCCACTTGATAAGTTGTTTGCGTTTGGAATGACAGCGGATTAATCTGGCCAGCCGAAGTGAATTGCATCCCATTGTCCGTTACAAGTGTTTCCGAACGGCCAAAGCTACTGAGGATCTGTCGCAGTCTTGAACTAGTGTCATTGATCGCTACACTTTCTATGGCAAACTCCCATGCTCCATTACTGTCTGAGGCGCCCACGGATCACTGATCGAACCTGCTAACTCGACGTGATCTCCGTCTCATGAGTGGAGCTCTGCCGTTTATGTCGTTTTCGAATCGATGACATATCTATGGACGGTCAGCATTACACTCTTGAGAGAGATCACACACTTGATTCCCTGTTATCCTGTGATAAACCGTATGGTGTGCTTTTACAAGGCCTTAGCAGTTACAATCCTTTCCGAAAACAAATGCAATCACTCATATTGGACAGTCTGTTGTGGCTGAACTACCGCATATCCGCCTATGGATACCAGCATGGCAAGTGGCCTAGATACAGTTGGGCGATTCTCTTCAGTGGTTTATTTCGTAAAGTTTTATTTCCTACAGTTTCCGCGGTTTTCTCCAATTCTCACAATGCATCACTCACGAGGATCTCGATGTCGAGTTCGGTTTCAACCTGTCTATGATCGCACCTTATTGCTATTGGTGCCGGAAGCTGGTGGCAGGTGATGATGCGCCTGTTTTTCCCTATGAGAATCCTCAGTTCGTATTGGTTCTCAAAGCATTAGTCTGAATGGTGGCGAGCAGTTGGCTGTGTATGCAAGATTACTCTTTTAAGAACCGAAAGCGACCAGCAACGGCTTGTGATCAAACAGAGCCACAAAATTGCGGCCCTGTTACGCGGTAGAACTACTTCACTGAGAGAATCACACTTTCCACTACCTCTTCAATCTTAGTACAGTATTTTATAGTTTTTGTCACTTTTCTATTGACGCAGATAATTGTTTTTCATTCCATGTTTGTAAACATGTAAAGTTACTTCACCAATTTCGCATGTTTGAATTCATGCTATACAGGACATGACTCGCAGCCGACATCACTGGCACTTCTGCTATCGTTTCCTAGTCGGACTCTGTTTAAAATTTGTTGCGGAGTTATCTGTAGGATAAGACCAGTTACGATGCGGAGCAATGGAAGCCACGAGGAAGCTGTTGCGCCTGTGCATCCTTATCTTTGACTGGTAGCTCTTGTGCTCTTGAAAAAGTGTCGACGCCCTACCCCTAAACGTTTTCTTAGGATATTTATGTTTCACACTACACCCTCCTTTCCCTCACATTATTATTCATTCCTTAATTCGTTCTATTGTACAACAGCAAACTGTCTGTCCAAATTCTTGATCTACTGCTGTTGTTGCTAATGATAATTACTGCAATCGATGCACTACGTCCATCCTTATTAATTCAGCTTCTCTTTCAGATATCATCGTTTCCCGGGAAACTTTTACTCTGTCTTGTACACTTTTCCTTGGCTCATTATAAAAGAAGTGCTTGTGTTGTCTAATTACATCGTTCCTGCCAATGCTTCGTCCATTTATCATTCCTAGCACCATTGTTGATCCTTTCTTGTTCTGTTTTGCTGTATTTATTTTCTGGTTTCCTCCGTGCTTGCATGTACTTATCTTGCCCTCGTGACTAAACGCAACTGTCTCATCCGTGGTTCGGTTCTCGGGCCATACTCGACTGTGATCTGTCAATTTACCAAACCCCCAAACCACACACACGCACCAATGGGTACAAATGTTACTCCTTTAGTATCCTCTCGTACCGTAGCTATGTTTTACACATTACCACTGAGCCCAAACGGCGCAAGGTTGTGTCGGCCACCTTGCAGTATTTTTATCCTCTGAATTATTTCATAATTCCTAGCTTGCATATAGATAAATATTTTATTCTCGAATTCATCGAGGCGTACCAACTCAGGTATGAATGCGTTTCAACCGCAGCTTCATTTTTAAAGTTTTTCCGTTTTATAGCGCCTGGCTTTCATCTTGTTTAGGGAAATTGTCAGATATTTCCATCTGCATCGAATAATATTACATTTCACCGTTTCAGAAGTTATTACAAATGTTGTTTCTCTCAGATGTCGTCGCCCAGAAGTTTCTATTGGCCGTTTCGTCTTTCCGTCACACATGGTAACCCTTATGTGTTTCATCGATTTTAGAAAACTCTCAGTGGACGAAATCGATGCGCTGCTCAACTCGATGGCCGAAAAAGACTGATCAAGTGCCGCCGCTTTTTAGTAATACATACTTTTCCACCTGCACCGTTACGTTTTTTGATGGGAATTGCAGTCAAAAACAGGGATTTAAATCAATAGAACGTATACATTAGTCACATTTGGCCCAACTAACACCAGAGATAAGCTTGAAAGCTAGAGCCTTTCCGTTTCACTGGAAGGGCGGCCATCTCTAAGACATTAGACATGAGAAGACTTACAATCTCCAACTCCATTTTACTCAGTTTTGCTAAAATTTAGCATCATTATGTAACGCCTTTCATCATTACATGTGGGGTTACCGAGATCACTGGTGTGGAATGCGGCCCGTTTCCACTATTGTGCGGTGTTTGCAACGACAGTGAAGTTGCGCTTGTGGTGAATTCGATTCCATCCTGGTACGGACAACACAGTGATCTGTCACTAAGGAATACAATCTGCAATACCGTTTTCCGCTCAGTCGTAGTGTGTGATGGCGAAAGTTAACTCCCTATGTATTAAAAGCATACGAAAATCATTTGTTTCTGCCACACACGCCTTTACAGGTTACTTAACACTTGGCAATAGCACTGTCTAAGCAGCGACCGAATACACTATCAAATTGATTTGTTGGCGTCTCTGTTGCCCATCGGACCACAGCACTCAGCCCGGCTGCTGTTATAGGACTACACAATGCCGGTGAGGTACGTGATCGAACGCAAATGTCAGAAGGCGAATAGGGATAGCCGCAATGAGGTATGGTCTTAATTGCCATGAAAATGGAACACCGAGCAGCCAAGTGATGAAGGTGGACGTAGAATGAGGATTGATAAAATGGGAATAACAGGCTATGTAGTGCTATAGTAGCGAATGTTCATGAAAGATGGGGATCATATTTCGGATCCCCACAGCGCTTCTCTTTAGAGAGCAGACTATGGCTTTCGATCAGGCCCCATACAGGGTAACTTTGTTCTCGTCGAACGGGACTATATCGATACTTTTAGCTTATTATGTAACAGCTTACGGGACAAGGGGCCTCATGGGGAGTCTTTTGCGTGGACTTGAAAACAAATTGGTAAGTCGGGAAAATGGCGGACATGACCTCACTCTCATCTGCTACCTAACGATACCATTAGAAGTGGCATCCTCTAGCAGCACTCGCATCCACGCTAAACGACTTCACATTTGTTCGTCGTCTGCCGGGCGCTTTTCAAACGCTTTGCTCATTTGGACTAATCCATCGGATGGTATGGTTGCGGTGCATAGAGACGGAAAAACAATTCTCAAAGAGGAACCTCGAAATTGGTAAAACAACTAGCCTGTATTTCGTTCTCGAGTTTTCGTTTGATTCTCGCATTAGACTGATGGCTTCATGAGTGATACGGCGACCCAGAAAAGTGACGTCTAGCGAACATTTATTGACCTTGATCGTTATTCCATGTTGGTCAAAAATGTTCAGATATGATGCTGCTGTTCTTCGAATGAAGCGCTGTCGGAGATTATATCCCCCAAGTAAGGATAGACGGAGTCTAAGTAATGTTACTTGGTGGATGTGGTGTTGATACGTCTAGGTGGTATCCTTGTATGCATACAAAATTTATAAACCAGACGGTTGGTGCATCGTTGTCTGCTTCGACCACTAGGACTTGATTGCGAACCAGATCTGTCTTGCTACGAACCCCTTATCCATAAGGCGCAATGGGACCCACATGTGTGTAGTTGGCTGGTGGTCCTGTGTGGTGTTCAGGGAACCATAGACTGCATCAGCTCAGTGAGCATCTAGTAAACTAACTGAAGCAGAAAATGCACCCAAGCTGAGAGTAGGTTCGATAGTCATCTATGCTCCGAGCACTACGTGTTGCTCCGTTCTTTGCCAGAAGAAGCATAGCTGTACCAGTACTCTATTTGTCCTTGTTCACACCGTGAGTATTACGGATTTGCACGAACTCGTAGTAGGACTGTTGCAAGCCGGTATTAAAAGAATGGGCACATTTCCAGAATCCATATATTTGGCCAAGTTGGGCTACAGGCCTAAAGTTGGACAATCGTACTGCGTCAGCCCATGATGCCAAATACGAACGCTGCTCTGGCTATGACGGAGTGTTCAATACAGAGATCGATAGCGATTGATCGATGGTCATGTGTGTTGGGTTAGTTAGGATTGTTCTAACCATAACAAGGACGAACGTACGTGAGACAGAATGTTATCACACACGGAAAGTACCCGATAGAATTCGATTTCGCACAACCCGGGAAATTTGGGTCCAGTTAAAACGTTCTTTTAGATCGAGCACAGACTTTACGCGCGACTCCGATCCACAGAGATGAGAACAAAAAGTAGACCCTTCGCCCTAGGCACCACTCGCTAGACCAAATTATTACAGCGTACCCAACCTTGCTTAAATACAAAGATTGATGAAAAGAGCGAATGGTGAGCAAGGCCTAATTAAGCAACTTAGACCGGAAATTGAATGTCGATAAGTAAAAGTGAGCGAATTGGCAATATGTGAAGAGGTCACTAACGGAACGTGATCTGAGTGAATGTCGGTAATTGATACAGCTTGGCGTGTGGGGCTGATAGGTCTGATTGGATATCAATAATTGATGGAGCTTGGCTGGAAATGTTTCTTGCGTGTGGCTGCGTGACTGAAACGTGGTTTTGCCTGAGTTCTTGTTGGGACGTTCGGTCCCAATAACATAAAGAAAAGCTTTTGAACGCAAGGACGTTACATTAGTTAAGTCTCCTTCGATTGATATAAAAATCGAGTCGCGTCACTTCAGCTGTATTTACGTTTAAGCCATACTTGGAAGCAATCACTATCGCGAAATATGGAAAATGCTGTAACAGTTTAGCGGTGTCACCCCACAAAGTCACGCATTGAGCTTCCGATGTGGAGAAAATAAATCACAATTTTTCATGTCAAGCTTAACACTTCATTATTTGGTATATCTTCTGCTGAGTTACAGTTAGCCTCAGATAACCCTCCCTCTATGAAAAGCCTAGAAGTACACAGGGAAATTATCCGATTATAGGTGAACAACGAATCTGGTCCGGATAAATTGTTTCCTGTCGTTCTCAAAGGGTGTGCAAATCACCTGGCGCAGCCTCTTCCCAAATTGTACACACTGCTTCAAACAGCACAGGCTAGTTGACAGTTGATAGAGCGCAAGCATCACGCCAGTGCCAAAAGAAAGAAACTGCAAATATCGGCACGTCGGTTGCTTTGAAGCCCTTTGAGAAGCTTATTCTTAAAAGGATCTCAGTCCAGACCCATTTGAATGACGCTCACCAATTTGGATGTCGCAGCTCAAGGTCTACCTCAGCTGCAGTAGCAAATCAGGTACATACTGTGCTGTCTTCACTGGATATTGAAAACATCCATCTGCATCTGCTTCCTTAATTTTAGCAACGCTTTCCGATGTACGAACCGTGAACTGCTGTGGCACAATCTATTGGGTTCTCGAGTTAAACCTTCTGTTAAAAGATTATTTCACCAGACGTACCCAATAAATCAGGTTACTGGGTAAAAACTCTTCTTCATTCACCACGAACTGGTGTTCTTCAGGGAGCTATTTTGTCCCCATTCTTATTTTACACTTACATCACCTCAATCCCCCTCCCTGAAGAAGCCATCTTGCTGAAGTATGCTGACGATGTAATCCTTGGCGTCCATCGTCCAACCATTGATTCATCGGCCAAACTGCAAACCCTCCTGGACAACCTCCCAGTTTGGTCCAAATCTCTGCCTACAGTTAAACATCTCAAAATACAAACATGTTCTCTTCTCCTTATTCATAGGAAACCGATACAAGGAAATCCTAACGCAGTGTCCGCAACTTTGCATTGACGGTGAATGTTCGACCTCTCACTTCATACTGATACTGTATTTACGAGCAAGTAGAAAGGTTTCTGTACAACTCTATCGAATTACGAAAAATCAAAATTTTCTTTTGAATTATCAGCAGTTGTGTCTGTTCCGTTAATCGTTTATCCTTGTTCGGTTAGAAATTTGTATAATGTCATTATTTCCGGGCATACAATGTCTTCTTTTGGCACTGTATGTGCATCGTCTCACAAAAGCACAGGTTTCAGTAAATTACCTGGCAGTGACACTGTGCATTGGGATTACTTGGTCTCTTCACGTGCACGAATTATTCACTGGTTAGAAGACTCTAATTCTCTCTTGCACTTCTCGGCTCTTCTTCCGTACCCCGATTTCGGTCCAGCGTTTTATCACTACTTATGTGTCACCCTACTGGACCTATTGCTCTCCCGTGATCTTTCCTGATCTCTTGAGTAAGGACCACCAAGTAATTGTCAGATCTGTGAAGCATTGTAGGAGCGCTGCTTAGGTGCGGAGTCCGAAAATAGCCATGTCCCGTCGTCCTTACTGGATGTTAGAAATAAAATCTTGTTGGTATCCCAGTGATATATTTTGGGAGGCTCCCGAAAATACACTACGACAGTAGGGCAGAAAGATTGCACAGGGAAAACACAGGTGATAGTTGGCTAGATGGTATAAGCCAGAGTTCAAAGTAAGTTGTCCATTGATTGTATGCACATCAATAGCTTTTGAATGATGTGGTTAGAAAGTCACATGATTGTGGCTAGTAGCTTCCCTGTGCGAAGAGAAATAAGCTAAAAATAGCAAAATAAGTTAAAGCTCCTACATACCTCCCCACCAGTGCGGTAGCCGCACGGTGATAAGCGACCAGGAGTAAAAAACCCGGTGGGAATTGCCGGGAAAACTGACCTCTACCTGATACAGTGTCGCTTAAAATGCCCGAGGCTGAGGCACAGGAGGCATGCAGGTAAAGTTTTTAGCTAAGATACAATGAAAATGTGGGAGCAGAATGTAGTAGTGCAACAAGGATGTTTGAGTTGCGAGTGTTGTCCGACGCAATCCTTCTGCCTTTTGTCGACATGAGAATCTTCTTATTCGTGCTAAGGTTGTTCTTTCCTCTCCTGGCAAACACTGGAAAGCAACAAGCAGGAAAGAAAACTGGCAGCAGGTAGTATAACAC